ATATGTTCATTTTTGAAAAAGTTACGGCAGTTTTTAGTAAAAAAAATTGAAAAAATTTCGAAAATTAGCGATTTTTAAATTTGTAATTTTTTTGGAGGTTTCCCCCATTTACGGGGAACGAGGGAAATTTTTTCAATTTTGAAGGGTAATGTCTTCGACTAGATACGATTTGTGATCTTTTAACGTATCGTTGAAAGAAATCCGTTCGGTGAGAGCTGAGAAAAAGTGGTAACAGACACAAAAAAAAAAATAAAAAAATAAAAAAAAAAACACATCTTAGTAAAACCAATACCTTCTCAGCTTCGCATCGAAGCTAATAAAAGGTATTTAAATGTTTTTTTTTTAATTTAGTAGTACATTTGGAATGAATTCAGATATACAACAAAAACTATAATTGAAAAGTGTATAAAGTATATCTTGGAAAAAATTGTATGTTATAAATAATAAAATATGTATTCTTAGCTTACCACTTTGATTCTGTGACCTGGGGTAGTAGTGAAGTGCCATACGCAGTCTTTTCTGCCAGGATATGCATCCGGGTAATTGGGACTACTGATTTTTCCATGTGGTGCCGATATTTCATGTTTACATCCACCTTCTTTACAGTCATGCTTATTCTCGTGTAACATGAAACCATTATTACATGTACATTCATATGATCCTGGAGTGTTCTTACATTCATGCTGACAACCACCATTGTTTATTGAACACTCGTCCATATCTAAAACATGAAAGTCTTGTTACTAAAATTTGAACTTATAAAATTGTAGGTACTTGTCTTATATTTTTATGTACCCAGTCCTATTTCATTACGTGAAAAAAATACTTGTACTAAAAAAAATAGCAGCAATTATACCAAATATAGATTATAAACAGGGACATTCTTAAAATTTGAATCATTAAATCGTTTTTTTTAACAAGAGATATAGGCTTTCAATGATCTATTATCGTATGAAAAATTAAAGCTATTTTACTTTAAAAATGTTTAAAATATGTGCCAATATTGTGCATAATATTAACAATACTCACATGTAAGTGTGGATCAATAAATAAAACTAATTTACCAAATGTTGAAATACGCTGCTTTGTAAATGGGACGATGGCATATGTATTGATATAACAATAATTATAACTCATTATCATACCCGTAAAAAAAACAGCGGCAAATCCAGTTTTGTGAACTGAACTATCTGATTCAAATTCAACGCGAAGAGCATTAGCTTCAGAAGTGATCATAGATGGTGCTTCTTGTCCACAATAAACCCCATGCTTTCGAAGTTTGTCTGACCCAATTTTACTATATACCTCAACTCGATCATATTCACACTCAGCCTAAGAAAAATATAAAACATGTAATAAAGTGAAAAAAGAAGAAATGTTTTATACAAGATGTAAAAGATACAAACTGATCATCATTTCAATTCCATAAGTTATTATTTGAACTCACCTGATGCAACTAAAAAAAATATATTCATTAACACTTAGAAATTATTTAGTAATCAGTCAAATAAAAAAATGCTCACTAACATTATTTCCTTCCAAGTCAAAATGAGTAAAATTCAATGTTATTTTAAACTGAGCTGGTGCAATAATTTCCCAAATACAACTTTTGTTTCCAGGGTATAAATCCGGGAATGACGGACTAGTTATTGTCCCGTTTGTAGCTTCAATAATTCCTCCACAAGCATCTTTAAGAAGATAATAATAAATAAAAGTAAAGAGTGTATAGTGACGAAATTTCTATTCAAAATTTTTAAAAGTAATAATAATCATGAGAGTACAGCAAAATAATTTTTTACAAATACATCGTTTGTTTATTTGTTAATACAACAGTGCCTATTTTTTAATTTGTATTTAATTTTCTAGTAGTTTGATGAAATTTCATCTTACACACAAACTATATATTAAATGTTAATAAAATTTAACATTAAACATTTAACTTTCTATAGTGTAAATAATTTTATTAATATATTTTTATTAAAGAAATAAAATTTCTAAGAATAATTTTCTATGATTTTAGTCTAAATAATCCAATGCTAGACAAAAGTAATTCGTTTTTCATCTAGTATTTCATCAAAATTTAAACTAATAAAGTATTAATACAATTAAATGACTGATCAAATAGCTATTATTTTTTTAATTTTTAAAATTAAGTCTAATTGGAATTTTCAAGATATCACTTTTTTTTATTTTTAAGAAAAATTTATACTCAAAATTTTGTTTAGAGTTTGAAATATAATGTATGTAATAAGAACATAATTTTTTTTATTAAATCACAATAATTAATTAATTAATATTACAATACTATATAAAAAACAATGATAGAATTTTTTTTGAACAGTATTAAGGTTTCAAATAACTTCAACTATCTCAAGCCTTTGAGTAATTAAATAGTTGAGTCAGGTTAACACATAAAAACAATTTAAAAAATAACAATAATAATTACAATAAGCAATTGCAAAAAAACAAATTGAGCCATTGTTTTAATAGTGATTTATTAATCATAAAAACAAATAACAGTTTTGCATTAAAATTTATTTTTGTAAGTTCAATGTATTACAAATCAATGATTGATTTTTTTTAATGTGATTATGTTTTTTTATAAATTGTCATATTTTTTAATGTTATGTTATGTTATAACATAGTTTAAAAATTAAAAAATATGCCCACCCTATACCATCATTTGAATTGATTAAGTACATAAAAAATGATTTTGTTATTTTATATCGTAAGTAAAGAAATACGACACAAATGATTCCGATAAAAGAAATATCACGTTTTATCACAAATTTAAAAATTTATTAAACTGAGGAAAAGCTCAATATTGAAATAAATAATTAAATTTTATAGTTATGAACATATGTTTAAAAATAAATAACTTTAGACCATATTTACAGGCTTTTAAGCCGTTACAAAATCGTTAATTTGAAATTTAATATATTATAATGATTATAAAAAATATTTCATTATTTGAGAACACTATTTAAATATTACAAGACTTGAACTTTTTTTGGTTGGCATAATTTTATTTTCGTAAACACATTATGTCATGTAATTTAATGAAATAATGTTGATTTGAGATAAGATTCTAACTTTAAAAGTATACATTTTATATTTATTTTAAAATAAAATGAAGTTTATGCATTATAATATTAAATTTGAATAAATATTTTAATAACTTTTTTTACTCAAATATCTTTTTTAATTCTCTTATTTATTGAAAAATATTATTTTTTGAGAAACAAATGTATTCCTAATTGGTTAACTCTTTTTTTCACTCAATATAATATTATGATATTGAATTGAAAAATTACTAAATTAAATTTTTTTATTATTTTGTATTTCGTAATTTTATAGCATATTAGTTTTCGCCTGGTGGTGCTCCGCGCCAGACTCAGTGCCTTGCAGGACTCTTGCACCGTAGGAGCGTTAGACCCTTCAAGTTGTCCTTACAGGTAAATCACTGACTCCAGTAGAAATATCCGGCTAATCTGGGTACGATATGTATTATATAAAGACAATATAACTCCAAAAACAATTTACCAGAAAATTATTCCCAATTGTAAATTGAATAAAAATTTGAAACATAATAATATGACAACAAAATACTTATGTGTATTCACAATTATACTTCATAATAATCCACTAATTATTATTCCAAACAACAGATAGACGAAAGAAAACAATCTTAAAATGCCATGTTATAGTGAAATTAAACATAAAATTTAGATGCGTAAAACAAAATCACATCATATTAAAATATATACGCGTGAAAAAAAAAATATAACTCAGTGAGAAATAAACAGATTTCAACAAAATTTTCAGAGCATCGGTGGAATCTCTAAGCAAACCTAGTAAAAATTTCAGGATTTAAATCGAAAAACGATGGTGTCAATGAGGGTTATTGATAGAAATTTTTAAACGCTCACGGTGCACTAAAAACAATTTTTACATCTTCACAAATAATTTTCTTAGAATAACGTCGTCGAGTATTTTAATTAAAAAAAAAAATTTGAAAATAGTACGTCGTTAAATAATAATTTCAGCATCGACTAATTTTTCAATGTTTTATTCTATTATAAGATTATTATTTCAATAGAAATCATATTTATCACTTCTTTTGGGATTTAAAAAGATTCTTCAATAAAATATTATGAATATATTAGATTCATATAACTTTAGCAAAAATCATCAACTAATTGTCACAGTAATAACATCAAAGGCAGTAACTTATATTACTTGTACTGAAATAATTGATTAAAAGAATTCAGCCTACTCAATTTTTAAGTATATACTTTTCTTTAATAAACCATCCTTTTATATATATTTTATACACAAAATAGTTTCGATGTATCACATTTGCCAGGCATCCCGTAACGCATCACGCCCTTCTTTATAAAAATCCTTAATAAAACTTTTCATACATTTTACCCTTTAGAATAATAGTTTTGAAATTTATTCATTACAATAAATGAATCGATTTAAAAAATTAAATATTTATGAAAAAAGTTAATAATAGTATTTGAAACTGAATGTTAAACAGCCTTTTTTTCCCGAGAAAAAACTTTTTTTTTTAATTAAAAATTGTTATTTTTACTGAAATTATAAAACTTTTATGCGTTTGAAAAAAAATTTATTTTGCGTTTTTATATAATAATACAAATTGTATCAATTTGCATTTATATATAGAATGTCCCACTGTAACTTACTAATTATAACATTATTTTATATAGTCAAATCGGTAAATCTAGGTGGGACACCCTGTAAACCATCCATGAAACAGAACTCATTTTTATCTAATGATTATTATTTAAATAAGTTTAAATACCTTCACAATGTTTGTTATCAGAATGAAGTTCAAACCCAACTTTACAAGCACAGTCGTATCCACCCATCGTGTTAATGCAAAACTGTTCGCAACCATGATCTACAGAAGTACACTCATCATACTCTGAACAAAAAAATGTCATTTTAAATAATTTTTATATTTTAAAATTTCAATTTTAATAAAAAGTATAGACTGAAATTAAAAATGACCTTGGAAACATAATATTCTTTATGATATCGTAATGCCGATCAATGTATTTTCATTCATTGTAACATCATGATAAAATATTAAGGTAAGATTTCAAAATATTATAGCTTGTCATAATACTCTCTTAGACTAGATTGTCAAAACTATAAAATTCAATCATTAAAAAATTATGTTTCTAAATAATTTTGTCTATCTTAAAAAGATTATCCACCTTTTTAAGACAGATGTGGCATTTTTATTGAAATTTCAAAAGTCATATTTCAAGTACTTTTTTGTTTTGTTTTTAAATCTATAACACAAATGAATAAAAAATTTTAAGATCCAATATTTTAATAAATAAATTTTGAGTAATTTTTGACATGAACAAAAGAGATGCTTGACTATTTAGAGTAAAAATAACTTAAAATAATCTAAGTAGTATTTATTTAAACATAATGATAATACATTCACTTTACCTTTCATAAATGTAGCCGAAAATCCAGCCTTTTGTACAGAACTATCTGATAAAAATTTTATGTATAACTTGTTTGTAGTAGAATGGACATCTAGAGGTAGCTTGTATCCACAATATTTATTTATTAAAGGACTATCAGCGCTATGACCATTTCTAATTTCGACAAAGTCATAAAAACAGTTATCGTGGTTTTCGATCTAAAAAGATAATAATTTATAGTTATTATTTGTACTACTTACTGTCGTATTGTTAATTATATTCAATCCAGAATAAATAGCAATAAATAGAGGTCCCCCCATTTATGTGGAGCTTGATGGGTACAACTCACCGAAATTCACGCGACCGCCAACTTATTTTCAGAAAATGTAACACTTGAAAGGTTTCGGGCAAAATTAAAAAGCTTATCAAATATAATATTTAATAACATTTATGAACAAATGTATCAGCATGTTCCCCCCTCTTGGAAAAATGTCTAAATACATACTTGGTCCCCTCATCAAAGTTCTATTATAACATATTTACAGAATAATTAATTAAAAATCACTTAAATTTAACAAAATATAATTATAAATGTTAGACTTACTTCAAAAACATTGAATTTTAATCCTACTTGATACCCTTCAGGTGCTGTTAATTTCCAAATACATTCTTTATTCGGAAGATAATCATCAGGAAAATTGGGCGATTCTAGATGACCCTGTTCATCAGTTACCATGACTTCTCCTCCACAAACAGCTATAAAGTAAAAACAAGGAGAACATTTTTTTTTTTTAGGATCAAAATATATGAGTCACTTATGGATATATAATAAAAGTCTGTACATATATCTGTGGAGCCACCAGAGCTGAAAGTGACAAAGTGCCATTTTAGAAAAAAATTAAACAAGTACAAAACTAAAATGTAAAATAACCACTCTTTCGATTGAATTAAAGATAATAATGAATTTTTAAAACAAAGTGCTATTTATCGTGGAATTTCTAAATAAACTATATTGAAGAGAGAAAATCATCTTTTATTTAAATTATTTGTAGCCTTTATAAATTTTTAAATTTGATTTTATTGTAACAATTTTTTTTACATTAATCTTTTTAGGTCTAAGTGCCTCATATAAAATAAATTATGCTTTATTAACCTTCATAACTAGCAGCAAATCCTTTGAAATTCACACCTTTATCTGACATCATGAAACTGATGAGCATTCTACTATTTGCTGTAACAATTAAATCTTGAACACGACCATTTCCACAAAATCTGCCTATAATAACATTCAGATTTAATATTCAGACATAATTATTACATACAATTTAAACATTTATTAATGATTATCCGTTATCTACTATACCAGGAAGATAGGCAGTCAGAATTCTATATCAAAAATCAAAAAAATAATTTCAGGATGCCCTTTTAGAATTTTATTTAATACTTAATGATTTAACCTAATAATTATAAAATAATTCGTGAAATTTTCAAGGATGGGATGTAAACACCTCTAAATATATATCTAACAGAGATTGGTTGTTGAAGTCTAGTTAAACTGTTCTGAAGTCCTGAGGCCAATTTTGACAAAATTGAATTAATACTAAAACTTAACCAAAAATAATAATAGTTTACGGTACATTTACCTTGTTATAAAATTGTTAAATACTTGAGAAGTTAAATTTTGATTACCATAAATTTAAAAAACCCAGCACAGGGGGGTTGCGGCACAGTGGTGACGTAGCATAGTTGGATCAAGTATAGTGATATCTGACAGTGATTAAAATCACTATAAAAAAAAAACGCTTCGATGCAAATCTTTAGATAGTGTTTAATTTAAAAAAATTGGTGGATTATTCCAAAAGCTACATGATCTGCTAGTTCCTTATTAATATCCTGATTAAGATAAAGTATGTCGAATGAAAAAGAGATTTTTAAAAAATATTATTTCTCATAAAAAAATTGTGTTGATCCATACACTTTTCAATAACTTACAGCATTATAAAGTTAAAAATATAAAAAATCGTATTTTTATTAACTTTGATGTCTGTTTTCACAATGAAGATAAAATAAAGTCCGAAATTTTTTTTTTCCGTAATAAAGTATATTACATTAGGTTTAATTTAAGAAAAAGTAGTCACTTTAAATCCCCCCCCCCATGTGGGCAAGTTTAGGGTCAGATTTATAAAAAGAATATACCAAACAATAGGTAAAAACATTATGCATCTATTAAAAAAGAAATTATATTGATTTGTTCAATTTTGAAAAAGTTATAGCAGTTTTAAGTAAAAAAAATTGAAAAAATTTCGAAAATTAACTATTTTTAAATTTGTAATTTTTTTGAAGGTTTCCCCCATTTACGAGGAACGAGGAAATTTTTTCAATTATTGAGGGTAATGTCTTCGACTAGATACAGTTTGTGATATTTTGACGTATTGTTGAAAGAATTCGATTCGGTGAGAGCTGAGAAAAAGTGGTAAAAGACACAAAAAAAAAAAAAAACACATCATAGTAAAACCAATACCTTCTCAGTATCACATCGAAAAAGGTATTTAAACTAGCTCGAAATATAATTCAAGTTTCTAATAAAAAAATAAAAAAATATGGCCCCTTTCTTTTTAAATATGTAACTATATTCTTTTTAAATATGTTTAATTAAGTTTTAAAACAAGCACTTAAGCCTTATTATAAACATTTTTATTTATTTTGGTGATTGATAATTTTTAAGATGGTTTAAATATATTAAATATTTTGAAAATACTAGGTTGAAATTATAATTGCATTTTTTTATATAATACTACTATTAAATATCTATTTTCTAAATTATCTTATTTATTATAATTAATGATGCAGTAAAAATATAAGTAAGTCGTCAACAATCATTATTATTTTAAGGAAACGGAAAAAATTATCCCACCATTATATTTTTATAGCATTTAAATTTCATACTTCTTAATAATTAAAAATAATGTAACACGTAATAAACAAGAGTATTTCAATAAATTTATATCCTGTATTCGTTAAAGTTAGTAGATATCTTATTGATGTTATATGTCACTCATATACTATACTAAGTATTGTACATAAAACATTTTTTGAAAACATGCCATTTAAAAAAATATTCAACTATTATGTATTTATCGAATAAAATATTTCTTATGGAAATTAATTTTTGCACAATTACCTCATGTCACTTTATAAAATAAATTAAAAAATTTTAACTTATAACAAAAAAAATATATTTTAAAGTAGTCATTTAAATATTGTCAATTTTTAAATACCATACGTTATTACTATTGTGACAAAATAAATCTGTAATAAGTTCATACCAAGCAATGGTGATTTATGCCAGTATCCATCTCGAATCTCTAAGTAATCGGAGCTACACTGATCTGACTTAAATATGTCTAGTTCAGTAATATTTAGAACTATACGTTCTCCATGAGTAGCTGTTATTCTCCATTCGCACCGTTCACCATATACTTGTCCTATCTCCGGAGTATATCCAAAAATACCATTGTTCTCTTGTAATGTTTTACCACATTCTATATAAAAAAAATTGTATATCAAAATATTTTACGTATTAGTTACTTTATTAAAAAGTAAAATGCTCATTATTAACTTGAAGATAATATGTTACACTAAACTAAACTAGCTTACAAGTTATTTCACTTTTACTTGATAAGGTAAAACTCTTTTTTAATTTGACATACGTAATTGTATATTTGTAACTAGTCCATTAAAAGTTTATTAAGTTACTATACTTTTTTTACTCACTGAAACATTTGTACAATAACTTAGTTTGAGCAATATCTCCTTCACTCAAACGAACTCGCTGTCCGATTTCAGGTCTTTTTTTTGAATTTCTTATTGAATCAATTGGATGAATTGTTTCTAAATATGATCCCTAAAGTTTTAATAGCTAATAAAAATATAAATATATGACTTAGAGTGATATATTTCGTTTTTATTTCACCTCTAATTTATATTAAATTCTAAGTTTTTTCTTATTATATATTTTTTACTGGATATATTTTTACGGTTATTCTAATTTAATTATTTATATTATTAAATATTGATAATTCTCATTAGCAAACACTTCATTTTTAAGTTTAAGATAAAAATAAATTTCTACGAATTCTATATCTCTCTAAAATTTATTATGTTATTATTACGCAAATCGTTAAATGTTAAATGGAGACTTCTATATGTTTTTTTTTTTTGTAAACTTTCATAAATAATAAGTAGAATCTTCGATCGATGACGTGAGGAGATTTCTATCAAAGATAATGTGACCATAAAATATATGTACACCTTTAGTTTAATATGAAATTTAACCAAATGCTGAGTGATATATTATTTTTTCTGTAAAATTCACAAACATTTAGCGATTTACATAATGTAGAAGTCTTTTTTTTATTTTATATAGTTTTATTAATAGTATCATGTTTCATAAGTGTTTTAAGATTTTAATAAACCGATATAAATCTACAATATAAATTTGTTTGAAACATAATATAAGGTAACATTTTGTAGGAAAAAGTATTCCAAGAAGACCCTATGTAATAATTTCTTAATATAAATCCAAATTTTATTTTTAAATTATTTTACAAAAAACAAAAAAGAGTTTGTATTTACGATACTTTTTGTATGTTACTCATATTTCAAACAATTGATTTAACGATTCTTTTGAAATTTGATAATATTAATTTGATTAAAAATGGAATTTATTGTATTCATACCCAATACAGCTCTTTATGATAAGGAATAGTCATTTATTTTTACCTTAGAAAATGTATTTTTTGCGTAATGCATGATAGAGTCATAATCGTAAGGAAGTCCTAATGAATTGACTTCTTCTTCAGTTAATTTATTGAAATTATATTCTTGGCCTAATCAACAAGATATTGATTATAAATATTTGTAATAATTTTTTTTAATATAAAATAAAATATAATTGGTCTTAAAAAAATCTTACATAGAATTATTATACTTGTATGTGACTAAGTTCATAAATAATAATTAGTTAATAATTCAAATTTACCTGATATAATATGATCTCTTACAATTTGCACATGGTTGTCACGATCTGGTCTTGTGTGTTCATGCCAAAATCCTACCACATGTCCAAGTTCATGCACAACTATCCCAAACTTATCACAGTTTTTTCCAATAGATATAGCTTGTGGTCCGTTTCCGCGTTTTCCAACAAAAGAACAGCATCTGTAATATTATTTTTAGTCACATTTTTTATTTGACAAAATTAATTTTTAAAAATTGAATATGAATATACTACTATTAAACAATTTATCATCAATTTTATGTTAATAGTAAAAAACAATTTTTTTTAACTATATATAAAAATTCTAGTAATACTTATATATATAAATATATATTTATACATTTCACTGAATTTTTTTAGTCATGATACTCAACTTACAAGTTTCTTATAATAAAATGCAAATAAACAGTAAAAAATAAATTATTTACCCGCATGGTCTTTCAGTAAAAACAATGTAGTTAGGATGTTCATCTGCATTACGTTCAACAAACTTGATACATGTAAAATTTTCCCAATGCCTCATGGCTTGTTTAAATAATGCTTTATGAGGTCCTCCAAAACTACTATCTATTTCATATGGAATAACTCCATAGTCCCATACTCTTTCTTTTCGCGCAGTTGCTGCTCTACGTTTCCGTGTATGGAAATAGCTATAATAATATACAAAATTGATTATAAAAGTTTGTTGGCGTTATAATCTAAAAAAATTATCAATATTTATATTATTTTAGAAGAAGTCGACTGGCTATCGTTAAAAAATCATTTGTATATAATAAAAAGAACAAAATAATTTCCTTTGATAGATTCTTGCAAGTTTGTTTTTATATACAAACGTCATATAACTTACTAAAATATAAATACTTATGATCCCTATATTTCAGTAAATATATTAAGATTTTTTTTAATTGCTTTAATCCCCAAGAAAATTTATTGGGTTCTATAGGTCTGTCACTGCAAAGAGTAATTTCAATTACTAAGGCAATCCCTCGCTTTCTAATGGATCTATACGTGGCCCAGCCTTTAACTGCTAATAATGTTTGTCAATCATAGCCACTAACCAATTCTCGATCAACAGCCATTTTAAAAGTATACACGACTATATTCATTTAATTTTTTCAAGGGACTAAATGATAACAAGGACATATTTAAATACTTTAAAATCAATTTGTTTTTCTTTGAAAAAAAAAATATAAGAACAAAATATATTTTTTAAATCGTTCAAGTTTCTTAATGTTTATTATTGACATATAATCTTTGTAATAAAATATAAGAAATTAATTAATAAAATCCACTATTAATGAAAATTGTATTTTAACTATCCTCTTAGAGAATATAGCTACATTTATTCTAATGATAATAGATGTTTTTCTATTTTAAAGCAATTTTTAATTGATATTTTTCGTTGTATTTTGATCACGTTTGTGTTTCTTTATGGATCCTGAATATAACATACATTTTGCTCTTCTACTAAATAACACAAATTAAATGCGTTGCATAATTAAATTCCGTTGTAAAAAACACCTAAATGTTTAAATAAATTAAGTAAAATAAGTAAAAAAGTACATTATTAGTTTTTAGAATGTTTGTTTTGATGTAAATGGTAAAAATATCAAAATAAAACACAATATTTTGCAGTTTATTTAAAAAAAAAATCCTGTAAGAAGACTGCCCCTGGAGCCTGTTTTAAAATTAAATTCTATTCTGTCTTAGATGCAGTTTAGATAGACTTGAATGGTTTTCATATTGGACTATGCATTCTATATAATATTATATTAATATTAGGTACAGGCCTGGATAGACTAAGCGAGCTATCAAAGAAATCTCAAGAAGTCCCTTTAAATTTAAGGCTTCTCGTAAATATTTCGGGCTACATTTTATTATAGATACAGTGATATATTATTATTAATCTACAACTTGAGTAATTTATAAAAAAGCTCAAAAGCTTTCGTACAGTTTATTTATAAATAGTCCTTTGCCTTTAAATACCTTTACCTAAAAACCTTTATAATTGACAGATATTTATTTGCGAGTTTTGTCAAAAAACTTTTAACCGGTTATAAGATGATTAAAATTTAAATAACTACATCATACGTTATTGATAAAATATTGATCATATTGATAAAATTGAAATGTTAGTTCATTTTCTGTGTTGAGTTTACTTGACTTATTTAAATTATTTAAAACTAATTTTAAATGCAAAACTGATGCTGTATAAAGGTGTTTACAAGAAAGCACTTTTTGTAAAAGCTGGCTTAAAAACTTTATAATTTGGAATTTATATCCCACCTATACATATAACACAGAGGAAAGTTTTTTAAAAAGAACAAAAATTGAAGAAAAAAATTGAAAAGGAAAAAAAGTTATTGGGAGCCCATTAAGGATTTTTTTTTAGCGCTAACTATTAATTATAATAGTTTGTTGAACTTAAGTTAGCATTAATAATATATATCTTAAAAATATACATTCCATAACTTAAATACACAGAAAAAACTTTTACTAAAATCATTAATTTATACTATATGATTATATTAACGGCTAATTTTTAAAAATAAAATTTTTAGGAGACATTCATTATTTTATCTATTGGAAATAAAAATTTATTTTAAAGAATAGTCAAAATACGTTTCATCATCATTTAATAAGAAATATATAATGTGCTATTTAATATTAGAGTATTTATCGTAGTGAAATTACATTTAAGGATATGATATTGACAGGCCAACATAGACAATCTAATTTCCTATTTGGTACTGGGAGGATTACAAATTTGATGTACCGACAAACATCATGGGGATACTACTGTTTGTCCATTAATGTTCACCCCAAATTACAAAATACATTATTTCACATTCACTGAATATTATCATGAGAAATATATTGAAATATTAAATGAATAACATTAATTTTCCGACACAGAAAAAGATGAGAAGGTTTAAAATCATTAGTATTTTTCAGCACATTAAATATGTAACCAATTTTGATTTAAAGTATGTAATATTGAAAAAGTATGAAATATTTTAGCATAGTCGATGATTAATATTAACAAATAATAAAAAGGATAAGAAAAAATATTATTTTATACAAATAAAATTATTTTCATAAATTCATTTCGAAAAATTAAATTAACTCAAAATATCAATTAGATTTATTATTTAACATGCGCGTACTTAGAAATTATATATGTATGCCATAAGTATTTTTTATTAAAAATCTTAAACATAATATAAGGTTTTCGATTCGATTGGTTTGGAATGATTCTACCGATCAATATATTACATATAATATTAAAAAATGGTAACATGTTGTTACAAAATATATTTCGCCTGAATGAGTGACGTGTAGTTAAATCTAATTTAAATGTCAAAAATAAATCTAAAAAAAACATATTATATCATAAACATCATATTTCATAGTGTAGAATATGAATTTTTACATAAATGTTATCATTTATATAAAAACTGTAACAAAATTATGTTATAACACAACAATATAATTACAAATTGATTTAACTGTTTTATTTTCACGGATTTTTTAAGTAGTGAATTCACTAATTTATTATTTTATAAGTGCAATAATAGTTTTATTTTAACATTTTACTTTATTTAACTTATTATTTAATTTCAATAGGACCTCAATATCAACTGATTATTTTAGTAAATGTGAGTTCTCGTTTCCAATGTTTATTTATTTTTAATAATTATAAATTGATATAATATTTTTTCGATCATCTTACATTTATAGCTCTTTGGCGTGCATATTAAATAGATATCATACAAAACAAAAAATGTTGGATTTTTTTTACTTTTCTATGTAGTTGGATTACAATTTTTAAAACAAATCATAATATAATTATTATTCTATTAAAAATAAACGAAATGCAACGTTTACCTGTTTAATGAAGTATCAATGGTTTTATTTTTTTTATCACTATGCTTCCTCTTGCTAAAATTAATTTTTCTAGTTCTATTGTTGTGTTTATGTCTTATCTTAACCTTAGTAACATCCAAGTTTTCGTTAGTTCTATGCATAATTCCTTCTTCTTCTATTTGAAGCCCTTCATTTATTTCTTTCTTGTACTTTTCAACTTTTTCAGCGTATGCCTGTTCGCCATTATCTTTTTGTTTTCCATAATCTACTCCAGAAATGGCAATGTCACCCAAAAAACTTCCTAAAATTTTAAAACAAATAATTTGTTATATTTAAGATACTAAACTAAAAGAATTCAACATTATCATAGTTTAGTCGGAGTAAATAAACCGGCGTATTAAAATATTCAATAGTACTTATTAGGTGTTCTTTTACAAATTTACAAATCATACTTATCAAAAATATTTATGAGATATTAGTTATTACTTAACTAAATATTATTAAGGAACATAAAATTATAAAATATAAAAAAGATAATATCTTGTTTATATTGGTTTTATTCGATGTAGCGCTAATGCTAGATATTGCAGACCTCAATACTAAAACATTTTTCAAGATCTTTTTGAGATTTATTTTATTAAAAATTATTCATTTTTTATTTTTGCTCTGTTATTGAGGCTTTAGGCAAGTGGCTTTACTTTTTCGCTGACCCTAATTCAATAGATTAGAGCACAAATGAGATAAGTGATAATTCTGGCAAAAATGAGTTATGATATAAATGACAGTTTTGTACACAAACGATATAATTATTTTATTAAATTTCACTACTTTATAGAATTTCAAAATTTAGGCCTCACATTAACTATCATGATAGTAAAAAATTTAATAAAAAAACTACTGAAATCCTTAAAAGCCCATTTTTTTTTTTTTTTTTTGTGCGCTAAATCACCGATATTCTATTTACATTGTATAATGAGCCATATAAAATTTAAAGAAATACACATTTGGATAAAGTTAATTATTAAATCATTTTTTAGAAAATTTTGATAATAATATCGAATATATAACCCATTCAAATGATAGTACGGTCGTAACAAAAATTATATTATTGGTAAGGTTAGTTTTATTTTATCCCGAAAATATTCTTAAACAACATTAAGTATAATTCTCTAGATTTCAAGAGACTTATTCTTTAACTGAATTCATAAGATTTCTATATCATCTAGTTCTGTTCATAATCTTAGAACAATTAGTCATCACTATAACGCCTAACAGAAAAGTTTGTACATAAGAATTATGATTTTACTTAGACATGAAAAAAACTTTTATATCATGTAAAAAAAATGGAGTTACATCAATATTTAACTAATTTTTTTATCATCCTACTAAAATATATACAGCAAATGACTAATTTATAAGTCACATAAGTCTCCTAAGTGGTAGATTTTTAGACATCTTAAGCCCTTTATCATATTTTAACATAGATATTTATACATAATGTAATATTTAGGACAAGGCTTTGATACGTATTTCAAGAGCATATTATTGTACAGGATTTCTATACCTATAAAAATTTTGAAAACCATTGAGCCTCTTTGTATATGCCACGACAGTAAAACCGTTTAATTTTAATTTTAACTAGATATTACTTATGAAGCTCCTCATCTACATAGCGATAGACATTTACACTATTTCGTGATCATACATTGCACTATAAGATTATAAGAATGTATTTTTTACTTAAGGTTCAACTAAACGAGATATTATTTTTGCATATGAATACATCTATTTAATATTATTTGCGTAATAGTAAGTGTAATAAAATCTAGTGCATATATTCTTAATCTATATTTGGGCAAGGATTAGTTAAGTGAAGATAACTTAAATTTAAGTATGTTGTATTGAATATTATAATAAAAAATTCTTTATTCAGTCATTTATTAAAAGTCAAATTAGGTAATTTATAATTTTTAAACGTGGAATAAATACAAATTTGTTGCTTTTCATATTATGTCAGTTACCAAAGGATAAATTATGGTATACACCCCCTCTCTAAAAACACCTATACAAGAAATTTTTTGATATGAACACAAAAAAAAATTTGATGATCAAAATAAAAGCCATACTAATTGTATTTTTAAATAGCTATTATACTATCCTTAATAATAAACATTAGAATTTATTATTTCTCAAGATTAATTTGTATGATACCATACACACTTTTATCATAAATTGTCTAATCATTGTAAATAAATCCAACTGCGACGAGAATTTTTTTCTTATAATAAAGATGATGAAAAATCATTATTTCTTGGAAGTAAACGTAATTTTATGTCTTTTGTATTTTAAAAATTAGGCTAAATGTGCATTCTAAAGGACTTAAGTATTGATAATGAATAAAAATTATGCCAAGCCAAAATTATTTATTTTTTATTTTTCACATAAATATATATATATAATATGGTTTAATTTTTTTCGACAGAGAAGCAGAAACGAATACAGGATCTCACCTTAGGAGGAAATATACAAAAAAAATGTTCATTCATTTTTCAAATAAAAATATTATACCTTCATTGTGTCATTACATATTTTTATTTATAATACTAAAATATCTTCTTAATATTAATTACTTTTTGTATTCTAAATAACAATTATGATCAAACTTTTTTTCAACAATTTTAAACAAATTTGATTTTTAAAAAGCCATATATATTTGTACTTAGTTTTAGTCGAATTAATTTATTAAAAAATATTTTTCAAATTTTTACTTTATTATAATTTAAAAGTTGTATACTTATTATTTATTATTATTATTTTATATACGTCCTCCCTGAAAAACTATTCGTGTGTTAATGAGGAAAAAAACTTATACAGCTTAGCGCTAAGGAATCAGACCTTAATAACTATGAACAGAACACGACGGGTTACCGACTGATCTAAGTAGGCAGTCATTTAACATAACTAAGAAAAAATCGGTTTAATTAAAGCTAACATCTTAAAAATTCTAGTAAATTAAGTAGGAATAAATATATTCTTCTATATTAAAATGTTGATAAATTTATAATATTTATTAGATCCGATATAAATTATAAGGACTGAAATCAAACAATCTCTTGATTTCATAGTAAATCTAATTTTATAATAAAATCGCGCTTTAATTGATTATTATTCACGTGTTAATTTACAATTAAAGTTGAAACAATGTGTACAATTTATCAAACATGAACATAGGCAAAATGAAACTTTAGGTCTGACAATCACTTTAAACGTGAAGACACAATTAAAATTTAATTGGATTAGGTTAAGTACAGAAGAGTTAACATATAATAGGATTTCACTAGAATATTACTTCTACAGTATACCTAGTGTAACAAATACTACGTTTTAAAAATCAGTTAAAAAAAATTAAATTATCTATTTAAAGATTAATTAATTTTTAAGTGATTAATAAAATAAGATACAAATGAGTGATAGTCAATATTTTGATTATTTATAGAAATATATCGAATCATTAAAATTTCTATATTTAATAGTTAACATGTCTTGATTTTGAAACATAGGTAGTCTAAAGTATTAGAGTATTTAATAAATTTTACAAAAATACGAATATTAACTTAATAAAGTTAAATAATCTATTATCATTTTAGAATACTTTAAGTAAATTCCAAAACTTTTTAATATATATATATAGTATATAATAAATATAGTCAATAAATTTATCAAAATTAAAAATTTATATAATATAAACTTTATATAATTTAATTTTAATATTTAAAAAAATTCACTTTAATAAAAAATAGCATTGTTTGTCTTAGCACAGTTTTTTGAAACTTTTACTTTGCGATAATCGATAAGTAAATAAAATATTAATTATGTGCGGAAATTGAAGCAAGTTCCTCTGGATATACAAAGACAAAAATAAAAATGGATATAAAAAATAAAAAACTACTTTGGTGTGCTAATTTTTTTTTACATTTGAACGGCCAAATATGAACAGTCAGCTGCCTATTCCAACCCGTTAAGATTCCAAACGCTGGTTAAATGAGATTGATGTCCTTTATATAATTTTTAATACTAAAAGATTAACTAAATTGCGTAATATCTCTATATAAAAACTCAAAAAACGTTTAACACAATTCTAAAATAATCTTTCAGGACATTTACTTCAGCTGTATTGAAACAACCAAAGAACCGCTTGTCTTGTAAATGAGACACATCAAGGAAGAATAAGAACGTGTATACCTCAGAGAAAGAGAATACAACCGTATTTCCTTATTAACGTTAAACGAAAACGTGCCAAATCGCTGCAATCTTAATATGAACGAAGTTATATCTATTTCTTACGGAACACGTAAAAGAAAACCAATGTAATCTTTAATTTTCTTAAAACATTAATATTGTTACTAACCAGCTTTACAAGGGTCCAAATCGATGTCGTTTGATATATTTTTAGAATATATCGAATTAATCAGTTCGTCAATAGTAAATTTAGAACTACTACAGACAACTTGGCGTAAATTCACTAAGACGTGAATCAACAATATCATTCCCAACCCCGCAGACATCTTCATAGCGACGGTTGTATCTATATCCAATGGCTATTATTACCAACACCGCATGATTTTTTTCATGATTATTCCTAAAAAAATATTAATTGTATTAAAAACAATATGTTTGTATCTTTTGTCAACATACTTTGTGATAATGTTTATGTTATCTCTTAAATATTTTACATTACATTTAATCTTTTATAATGATTATAGACATTACATCAAAATAGTAGTTTTAAATCAACAAACATAATGTAAATTTACCAACAAAAATTTTAGGATTACATGCATAGATTTATCGCCAATATATATAATTTATATAACATGTATTTAAGGTGATAATAAACACAGTTGAATAATTAATCAATTTAATTAAAAAATAATTTTTTTTTTTTAGATAAACATAATAATTAAGATATATTTTTAATCTGAATAACCATAATTCAGAACAAATCCAAGACCAATAATTAAAAAAAAAAAAAATGATTGAACTTTTCTTAGCTATATTTTTAGTAAAAATTTGTACATAATAACTAAAATGTCTTATATTATCAATCACCACACCTATGTATTATTTTGTTTAAATGTGATTAGAAAAGCTTTCGTGGCCTCATTCAATTGTTTCACACGTTAATCACAAAGTCCACTAACATTTTGGTTGAATTACCAACCACATATACAACTAATTTATAAATATATTTATTTTCAAAAAAATAAAAATAAAAGGAATAATAATAATGCTTATTTTATATTACGCGCAATAATTATTAAGAATAATTTAAGTATTATCTACGAAGTATATACATCATAATATTGGTGTTATATAATAAGTTGTAGATTTCCCCCCAATTTTCAAATTATCAATAATATTACTATAAATAACACCAGACGTTATACTTTCTTAGAATGAATATAATTTATGAAACAATAATTTTTTAACACTGCAAGCTAATAAATTTAAAATATATTTCAATAAAATGTTAATTTAATGTAATCTTCGATCACAAAAACTATATTGTTAGTTCTTAAATAAAATACATATGAATATTACATAAAACATTTTAAAAGAAAACTTACTATTATATATTTTTTTGTCCGTGAAATTAACCTCTAATTCTCGAAAATAGTTGATAATAAATTCTTATAACAACACGTTATGATACGGCCCGCGCCAATACGAACAAACTGCACACTCCACGCGATGCTTCTACGGCCACTACTAAAGAGTCCGCCGACGTGCGAGCGCCGTACACCTATACGAACACACACACAAGGAGCCTGACAAACATTTTCATTCCACCCTAAACGGTACTACTTCTGCCTGCTCCGAATCAATCTCTCATCTCTAATCCAGCGGCATATATACCTAATCAGTGTATAGTTTATAGTCTATATACTACCATGGTTTGTTAAATACAATAATAATAACAATTCCGATTTATTGACAAGTTTATGACGCATTCAGTAAAACAATATTTTCACAATAATAACAACAAATACGGGAAATAGAACCATCAATAAAATTAAACAATGCTAGGGTTTTTGTTTAAATTAACAGAGTTGATTTTTGTGAAAATTATTAATTACATTATTTTACTGAAGTATAAATGAGAAATTACAACATTTTTTTAGAATTAAGCTTGAATAATGCAATAATTACTGAATAAGTTGGTTTTTAGTCATCTATGCATTAAAATTCTTTTATTTTAAGACATTAGTTTAAATTTATTTAAAATATGATGAATTCATCTTCCATGTGAGCTATTTTATGTAACTTTTTAGCACAATAATACCCCAAGAAGGCTCTAATAGCTAAACGTCTTATAGACCTTGTGAAATTAACATTTTTGATAAAAAATAATAAAACAGTTGCTAAAAACTTATTTTGGTATCAGTTCACTCCAAAACTCCTGCGTTAGCCACCAGTAGCATACCCAAGAAGGGCATATAATTTCCTTCATAAGTCAATTATTACTATTAACGTGTATAACTTTGGCGCTAGTTAGAATATACGATAAAAAACGTCTTAAATCCCGTCACAAAAATGTTGGGTATTATTAGTGTATTAAAATGCTTCTTTCTAAATAATAATAAAAACCTATTAATATAATTTTTTTTATTATTATACTAGTTATAATATCAAATTTTATTTTGTTTTATTAAAAACAAAGCTGTATGATTTTTTTATAGTGTACTTTTGAAAATTCCAATCGCCATAATTTTTAACTTGTAGGCCAAACTACAGTTTTTAAGCGTATTTGTCCTATCTTAATAGACGATTAGGGCTGCAATACATACAATATGTTTATGATAAATATACTACAAAAATCCTAAAGGCTAACATAATTTTTGTGTATTTCACAAATCATTATAAATATTAGTTATTTTTATTCTGTTATTAGAAATAGAAGTATCTATAACAATTCAACGATCTAATGATTTTGGAAGTTCATTACTATAAAATATATACAGTGGATGTAATAAAATCCACCAACTGCGAGACAAAAGTGACGTCACTGGCTTACGTAGTCTTGATAACTTTCACGCACCCTTTTATGCGAATACTTAGTCATCGTGGTTATCGCCCTCGATTCAAAGGCTGGGACTTCCTAATGAATAATAATATTACTGCCATGAGCGCAACTAAAGCAAAAATGCAGGGGGTACTGAAATTATGTAATGATTATAATTTTTAAATTGCTTGACAAATGTTATCAGCTTCTGATAATAAAAATTCTTCATGAAATAAGAAAAAGTTATTTTCACAAAATTTGATTAGGGTGCTGAATTAGATATTGGAGTGCTGCAGCACTCCAGCTAGTTGTGCCCATGATTGTGGTATTATTTTATTTCCTTTGGGATTTATAAACACTATTTGGAGTATGTTGAAATAAGCAATACTATTTTCCTGTAAAAAAATATCTTCATGAATGTCATGGAAGCGCTAATATATATAAAATGATTTTATTAATTTTCATATGGTGAGTTTTTCTTTTACAGTAGAACAATTGTTTTTGAAATAAAATTTTGTTTACCGTAGTAAATCAATACAAGTATTTTACATGTCGGAAAATATAATAAAAAAGTAAAACCGACTGATGCTCAAATATGCATTGTCTCTATACATTAATGAATTTCAATTAAATTCCTGCGTTGGTCTTTAGCCTAAGTACTTGGTATTTTCGTTAGCCATTGAATTTTATTTGATATATATTTAATATAATAAGTCTTATTTGTTTAATGATGAAATTAAAAATTAAATATTTTAACTATAAACAAAGACCTTCGTGTCCCTTTTAAGCTAGTCAATGTGTTTTTGTTTGAACAATAAATTTTATTCATTTAAATTGTTATCATTAAATATGACCTGATGGTCATAAAATCCTGGTAAATAACGAATTCTGAAGTCTTGGATGAATTGTATATGTATGTAAATACTTTTGGTTACACGCAGAGAAGAGTGAGAGAAAGGGAATAATATTACCTACACAGCAAGGTGAACATTTGGTTTATATAAACCCTAGTATATAGTTTATAAAATGTTTTGCTCATGTGGACCGGTTATTCATGCACATGCGCGTTATGTGACAGAGTGCCTACAACGGCTACTAACAGCTTAAAACAATATTTTTAGATCTTAAATCACACAATACATTTTTCATAATAAAGTCTAAAAACTGCATATTTTAAAAATTTCTTTAGGTCTTAATTACATAGAAAATGTGTACATTTCGATTAAGTAGGCGACTATAGGAAAAATATCCGTTGCACTGATTACTAACGTGTATAAAAATGCACGTTCTTCATATTATACTATCAAAGTGAAGGCTTACTGATGGTGGGGATAGTGGCCGGGTACTGCCATCGACAGTTTGTAGACCAGGAGTAGTGGTCGATGATAACTGTGGTGGTGGTAAACGCAGCAGGTTGATGGTTCTCGATCGGCCAGTTCGTCTGGTTTTGTGGTGGTGTTGTACGGTTAAGTGTTCCTGTACTCGAGTTCTCCGTTTGATTTCTATTAAAAAAAACGATAACTCAATATATATCGAATTGTTAATAGATAAATTGTTGGTGTACATATATAAATTAATTCGTTAGGAATCAACATTTTCATGAAAAGTTAAATGTGTCTCCTGATGTAGTGCTGTGTAATGTATTGAAACGGATAAGCTGGCAATTAAAGGATTTTATTTAAATGACGATGATTTTCATCTAAAAAACTCACAATATCAACAAAGTAAATTGAATTATTAATATCTTAATGTTAAATTTAAAAACTAATTTTTTTATGTACGTGCTAAGCTAGTAAATAAGAATGGAATACAATTAATTCTTTGAAACTTAGTAGAAATTATTAAATTTTTAAATACTTATAGTTTTTAAAAAAGCATTATAATAAGATTTTCTATTTAAATTTATAATACTACTAAGAATTTAAGAGAATTACATAACAAAGACCTTGATTGGATTTTAATATCATAAATTCGTTACACGACAAATCTTTCATAAAGGTTGAATAGTGAACGCTAAGAGGAATAGTTGATTGTGAAAGTATTGAGGGATTTTTAAATGATTTTTGTTTCCTATTAAAAAACGTTTTGGAGTTTTTAATTGGTTTCGTTTATTAAAAAGGGTAGGATGGATTGTTTAAAACTGACGAGTATTTGCGGAAATGAATATTTCATTCAATTAATATTTCATTTGAAAGTAAGGAGATTTTTAACAACATAGTGATTGAAATGTTTACTAAGAATTTAAATTAAAAGTTATATTTTTAATTGATTTTGATAAAAACAAAATAAACTCATAGTGCTGTAGTAAATCTATTGATTAACTCTAGAATGTTTTCTTTATTTTATAATCTGAAAATCTTTAGATCTCAAATAGTCTTTTAATTTAGAGTAATTAGATAAGTGCTTGGTCGCTTAAAAGAGAGATTTCTAACATAACTCATCAAATTATGTACAAAAATTCTTATCACTTAGGTTATAGTATATTTTTATATTGGTAAATATTATTTATTTATTACTTATCATAAGGTTAATTATTTTTTGGTTCAATTTTATAATCTTTAATTCCATTTCCTTAACAATTTTGACTCGCAAAGCTAAACATTTTCATATTGGTCTGCAATTATACAAATTTCGGAAACCCCAGTAATAGTTTTACTCAAATGCCTGCATATTTTAATTTCTATAAAAAATTGATTTTTTTTTAATACATTCTAGAACTAAATACTGAAATAATCATTTTTATATATAGTGGTAGTGAATTTTTATTCGTTAGATGTTAAAAAATAAAATTCAAATAACAGGTAATTAATATACTCCATTTTAGTGATCATTGCAAAGAACATTACCTTCAGGTTGGACTATTGCCCAATTTCAGAATATGTACATTGCGGTCATATATATAACGGGAGACTTCATTGTATTCCATTGCTAAATAAACGAGGGCGTTTTCGTTAGTTGGGAGCACCAATGTTTGAGTCGTAAAAAACTAGAAATTCACTTCTTCTTGTCATTTTTTAATCGACTTAAATTTTGTACGAAGTATATTTACTTTCGTAATCAAGAAATAATAAATTTTATAAGTTAAACATCACGATAAAACTATCAATTATGGACTGTCAATTAGGCGTAGTTTATAACATTTAATTTGAAGCTTAGTTACTTTTCAAAAAACATAAAAACAATTTTCCTATATTATAAGACTCGCTCTACTTAAAATGTATTAATATTTTAGGTATTAAATTATGATATAATATATTAGAGAAAAGAAAGAATCAATGGGTTTAATTTTATATTTCTATTCGAAAATAATGATTGTATTCATTAAGACTTAAACTTAACTAAATATTTATCAACTATTAACATTCAACCAAGATCTTATATTACCATTTACTCAACCAAATTTTAGTTCTTTTCTATTGTATAATTTTTAAATAGCTTACTTCAGATATTTCGTATAAAACATGATCATGCAATAATTTTAAAAAGAAAGAAAGTTTTTTTTATTTTATTTATAAATGTGTTTGAATTCATGATTATGACCTGTTTATGATTTTTAATATAATGTATAACGTGTATACTACAATTAATCATTCACAATTATATTATTATTTATATTCACAATTTAATCATATAAATGCTGAGTAATGTTAAAATCATTAACACATCATTATGTATTAAAAAAAAATCAACCTACTAATATTACCATAGATATTATTTGATATATTTCTAAGTTAAAAAATATATATATATATATATTATTTGTATACAATAAAAGCAAAAATTTATAGAAATTAAATTTTTTATTTTAATAATTTTTTATAAGAAATTCTATACATTTTTTTACTATTTATGAGTATGAATTAATATTATTAATATTCATATTTAATTTAAAAATTCAACTTTTTCACATAATTCAACAAATTCAAGAAGGATAATAGAGGAGAGTGTTATAGTTTAGACCTCGTTGTACTTTGGCCTTGTTGAAATAACTTCTAAAATTATGTAAAAAAATATTCAAAATCGACATGGTACATAATTCATAAACAATTTATATTCTATTTTTAATTTTTATTCATAATTTTAAGATTAAGGTACAATGACAACGAGATACACAACACTCTCTTATTTATCAAAATAGTTGATTTAATAATTTTAAATAATGTGTAAAATGTTAGTTCTATACATTAAGTTAAATTTCCTAACGTTAAAAATTGCATATATATATATATAAAGTATCATTATAGAGAAGTTCAATGAATCATTATTTCTATAAACAACTGTGGAAGATTTCACTTTGTTACCTACATTTAATATCTTTTCTTTTACGTACTTCTTGATTTTGATTCACAAAATATTTGCGACAAAAATTAACAGTTATTTCCTTCTCTGTTGTCTTGAAACATAAAAGCTGTTAGTCGAGTAAAAAAAATTAATATAGTTAACTATGCTTGTAACTAATAAAAACTAAAAAGTATGTGCTTCTAAAATTTAGTAATATATAACTTGATGTGTCATTTTGTCAGATGTTGTCATATTATGTTAATTAAAAAAAATGATTGCTGGTCATATAATTATACAATTAATCACAATACTATTACGTTATTTATTATATTTATAATAGAAACATTTTTTTATTTCTTTATAAACAGATTAATAGTTTGTAAAACAATATAAATTTACGAATCATTTTTTCTCATTACGTTCGTGGGTGATTTGAACAAATATGTTTACTAATCCATATGCATTTTACAAAATTACTGTTGGTCGTGTAAAAAAATTAAGGGTAATTTTATGTTATGTATTTTATGATCTATTATTTTTCTTGTTTTACGTAGATAAAAAAATAGTACTAAATAATCATTAATTTTACATTAAATTAGGATAGGTTTTGTCTTAAGGTTGTCCTGTCATTACTCTTATTTCGCTCAAATATGATTGAATATTAAAATATAAAACATATGTAAATTATAGTACATTATTACTATTACACAATGCATAATTTCAAAAACAATCAATGGCCTTCAATCGCCTTATGTAGTTGATTAAATTTTTGTGTGAACAAATACTTCATTTTTATGTCTTGATTTTAATTTAACACTATCAGTGGTAGTCAATAAAATTTGTTTATAATTTATTACAAAAATTATTGTCTCACTAATTTTAGATTCGGGTTATGCGTCTTTTTTACTATTTAGTTTGTATTAGATGTATTTATTTTAACTGAAACACAATATTTTAGTTCATAAATTTATTGTAAAAACTTTAAACTGTCTGTTTTATGAATATATTTTTGAAGTTCTTTGACGCAATAATTTATCAAATAGGTTAGAGGACTTATTCACGACAAAAACTCTTGTATTTGTGTTGGATAGCAAGTTTGTAACTTGTATGCTGTCTAATACATTTTTCCTTCATGATCCCTAAATAGAGTTAATCCATGTAATGCTATTACTATATGTTGAAAGGATTTTATGTAGAAGCATGAGTTATTTCAAATACGGAAAACGTATAAGCATCGATTTTTTCCCTTTTCCAATGTAGATATTGTACTATTAACAGAGCATGTGTATTGTCTCAAACTCCGGTCCGGTTTTAATTGTTCTTCGTATCGCGCGATGACGTCACAACACTGTTAAATGAACATAAATGCGACGGAAGGATTCTTTGTCCGTGCTTAAAATATCAATAGTGGTTTTAAAAATGCTGTAATTCTCTGAGTCAACCGAAGATCGAACGATCTATCAATGGCTTCAAATTTCATTAATATAATATTTTGTAATATTTGAAAAAATAAGGCGCAAAACTTAAATAATTGTTTAAAATAATACTTTTTCAAAGATTTTCTTTTGAAGACATTATTTTAATAATTTTTCATCAAGTTTTATACTAAATTATAAAGCTAAATTAATTATTTAATTAATAATTAAAATGCGAAAATAAAATGAAAATGGTGTTTTACAGTTACATTATATTAATAAAAAATATAAATTGTTCATTAAACTACAATATCCAAAATTTGAGTTTCTTAGTTACTTAAAGACCAATTATTAAAATGCAATTTGTTATGGGCATCAAAAATTTATATTATCAAAATAAAATTTGAACACTTTTGTTATTTTGACAGGTTTATGCTACATATCTAATAAAATGAGATTTATTGCTTTTCTTAATATTCGTTAATTCAGAGTACATATTATGTACCCACCAAACATCGCGTAGTATATACTACGCTAATAGAACTTCTTTACGAAAGATCTTTTCCACCACCAACTTGATGCTATTTACTACACCACAAGATGACTGCGGTCATTGAAACTTAACTGACGTCTAAACCGGTTTCTGCAATTCGAATTGTTATTGATCTCTGAGTATTTCTTTCCTGCTTAAATGACATTGACCATAATATTTTTATTAAATTGCTGTTATCACTTATATAAAATATTTTTTTATTATTGATACAATGAACTAGGCCTTAGAGATTTATTAATGTAAACAAAACTTGGTAGCCATTTTGTTGTAGGTAATATTATCATTTTTACTGAAGTGATAAAAAATTTTTTTTTTTTTTATAAAAATGTGTTATTATCCCATAAATCAATTTTGCTATAGGTAACATAATTCTTTTAGCGATTTAGTCACATTGATTGACTTACATTAAAAGGGCCGACTGATTTTATCACCTTCTATTGTAGCTATGTAAATTTTTATCAGTTTTGATACAGAA